CGTAAGGAAAGTAAAGGTCAAGCCGGGTCGAAATGAGTATTTTTGCTCTGAAGTTTGCTGTTCAATGCTCAAATAGGGCGGGTTTTACGCGTTACTTGAATGTGAACAAGAACAACAAATTCTTGGGAAAAGAAATGAGAGAGAACCAAGGGACATCTGGTGTGGTATCGTCTAAGGGCAGAGAATGTCTGGAACGAAAGTACAGGAGAGTGAAAGCTGAACCCGGGGAGAGATCGATTTGAGGGACCCAAACAAGAATGCAATTCAAAACAAGAGATGAATAACTTCATTGTGGCTGGAACCGTAAAGCCCAATAGTCGGACGTAGTTCCTCTCGTGGTACTCTTTGAAACCTATTCAACGTACCTTGGTTTGCTGTGATCAGACAATAAATCTACCGTGGGGCAAAGGGAGATTCAAGCCGGATATTCAGTCAGTCAAGGGAGGAAAAGAAAAGTGATGGCAGGAACTAGTTCAGCGTGGAGGGAGGAAATAAATAGCCTTCTCACTGCCTGCTCAGAAGAGGATTCACATGGAACGCGGAGTAATGTTGACAATCATGCCAACAAAGAAAAGAATAGCAGCTGCTCAATAGACTGCTTCACAGCTGTCAGACGACAAGGGGAAGACTGGTGCCATGCCTGAGACCAAAAGAGAAAAACGATGCTTGGATCATGTTCTCTTCGTTTCCTCAAGCGAAACAGGTTTAGTGAGGCTCGGCAACGGTAGGAGGACGACGCAATGCAAGAAAGGTGAGCCGATGCTGAGCTGCGATGATTTTTGCTGATGCGGGTGACCGCAGACAAGACGAAACCGCCGAGAAAGCCTCTGTTTATGCCGTTGTTGTACTTCGATATCAGACAACCCACTTTATGGGCGAAGCGACTAGACGGGCTGAAATCATCACGCCGCAGACAAGGGAAGCTTGCCCTTTTCACGCGATGAGGCGGACTTGGGAATGCAATCATGACTTCGATTGGATGACGGAGTGTGTTTGCCTCAAGACGACAAGGCCATTGTGCCACGTCCGTATTCCATCCCTTGGCTCCGGTCTGAGACATAGTCGGCTTCTGACGCTGGAGGGCAGCACAAGGGGAGGATGAAGCAGCCGTAGGCCCGTAGCATAGGTACCTAAGGTAACTTATGCGGAGGATGGATCATGGAAGGATTTGCCAATTATACAGATCGTATATAATAGTAATTTTCTGCAAGCACAATACATACGACCATAGGTGGTAGAAAACTCGGGATCCCGTCCGCTCTCCCATAGATAAGCTGCCAACCGACAGATTAGTAGTTGGGTCGGTGACGACCAGCGAACACCGGTTGTTGTATGTCGCTTTATTTCTTTTTTTGCCAGTCGCCGATTCTCTTCGTGGATTCTCATAGAGCGTCATCATGTCGTCTCAGAAAGATGGGCGGTAACTGTACATTGCAGAATTATGTGTGTCCTTTTCACTGTTCACTGCTAAAAGTGCCCCTGAAGAACGCCTCAAAGAGGTGGATAATAAACGAGCCAGAGGCATTCTCGATACCTACCTACTGTAGCTTGCGCCCCTTATTATGCGACTCAGTGTATACAAGTTCCGTGCATCAAAGCGTTCTCTTTTGCTAGACAGGTGGTGCTGCCTCATCTCCTTCTATTCCCAACGGCCCACATGAATACATGAAGCGTGCCTCGCAAGTGTCCCTCACGTCAAGATGCGACTACGGCACATGACATGCAATACATCGCCTCCATCAGTCATGATACTCACCTCACCACATGGTATTCTACCGACTTCCGTCGCATCTAGAAGAGCCGTTCCCTCCTCAACGTCCTGATTTGTATATTTTTTGGGTGGTTTCGTTTTATTTACATTGATTGGCAGTGCTTATTCTTTGTCCAAACGCACTGCAGGGCTGTTTCGCATGAAGTTCAGATCGACTTTGTGACCCAGCAATTCGCGAATGTTGGAAATGCCGTATTTGATCATGGTGGGTCGTTCAAGAGACAGACCCCAGCCGAAGACTCGCATGTCCTTGCTACACAGGTAATCAGCATCGACAACTTTGGAAAAATGGAAGTCAAGGCTTGGTCATGACTTACGGAAGGCCCATGGATTCCAGCATTTCAGGTCGGAACATGCCGCTGTTGCCGATTTCGACTAGCTTTCCAAGACCCTTGTCTGTCACGGTGTTAGCGATTGTTTCCAGGGCGGCAGAGAGGAGATACTTACGATAAGAGAATATTTCCATGCTCGGTTCCGTGTCTATTGCTCAAGTTAATCGACGTCATCACGAAGAAAAGAGGTCGCAATGCGGGCCACTTACAAGGGTTGTAGGCACACTTGTATTTGAGATCGGTGATGCCCATCTTGCCGAAGAAAATGTCCATAAACTGCTGCAGTCAGTGATATTGTTCCTACGCGACTGAACTGGGCAAGGCAGTGTATTTTGAAATCTTACCTCCATGAGACCACCCAAAGTCAGGTCATAATCAGCAATGACACCTTCGACCTGATGAAACTCTGCCAAGTGAGTGGCGTCTACAGTCTCGTTACGGAACACACGATCGATGGAAAAGTATCGAGCGGGGGGTGGGCGGCCGTCAGGGCCTTTTTGCTGGGCCAGTTTATGCAGCATGTTGGCACTGATGGCAGTGGTATGCGTCCGTAGCACCAGCTTTCGAGTCTCCTCTCCAGACCAAGGGTATCGGTACCCTATCGATCCATATTTGCCTTCCTAAGCCATGAATCAATAAGAAGGTTCTCCGTGCAAGTATTGAGTCGATATCTTGTCCTGGCATACCTGGTGGACCTCCTGCACGTTGTCCCAATAAGTCTTGTAGTCACCTTTGTCATTGCCATCCTCTGCTCGGGGCATATCGGCCTCCTTGGGATCGGAGACATAGAACTACAAACACCTATGGTGAGCCTCTTTGGTGGTCGCTTCGCAATTGACAATCAAGTACTGCAGTACGTACAGTGTCTTGCATATCACGAGCGGGATGTTGTTGCGGCACAAAAAGCGCATCAAAGTTCCAGAAGCCAGATTCGACAAACCTGACACCATGTTAGCAACCGACAAGCGGCGTAGCCAAAAAAGCAACATGGCCACAACTTACTTATCTGTAGGCATCTCCTGGAAACCCATCTCAAAGAAAATCTGCCTCAACTCAGATCGAACCTTGCTTAGAGGATGCAAAGCGCCAGACTGTTGATCCGCACCTAAAGCCTTGAAGTTGTATCCCTTGAAATTGGCAGTCTTCCATGAGCCGCTAGCAATCATGTCGGCGGTCAAGTCGGTGGCGACTTCGGGTATTTTGAGAGCGAACTTGTCAGCCTTCTCGATTTTGAAACTGATGATTTTCTGGGTTCGGACGAGCTTGCGCTTCTTCAGATCGGCCAGCATCTTGGCGTCAGGACATGATCGCGTCGACTGAATCGTCTGCATCTGCTCTTGGGTCGTGTCTTGGACAGACTCTTTCTATTGAGTCGCTTCCACGTCAGCCGCCATCTTCCATCCAAAATGCGCGAATTCTCGTCATATTTGCAGATCTACTCACGGCCGCTTTGAATTTCCCATCTGCGACATCGGTCGCGTTAGCTACCATCTCTAATATGAATGCGACAGCAGATAGGCAGGAAGTCTCACCTTGGGATTTTGAGATCCATTTCTCCCTGAAAGCTCTACCTTGGCCGATCTTGACAACATTCTTGTCACCAATGGCCTTCTCGAGCTCTTGTATGGTCAAACCCTCAACAGCAGCACGCAGGGCCTCAAAGACGCGAGCCTCGTGGCTGCCATTGGTGGCAATCTGCTCGCCTTCAGGTTCCAGGAGAGCTTCTTCACGGTCAATGGTCTCGTATTTGACCATATCACGCGAAGCAAGTCTGTCGAGAGCGCCCTTGACTTCGGTAGAAGGTATCGCGGGGAAGGCTTCGGTGGAAAGGATGGGCGATTTCTTGTCCAGCGCATGGAGAATCTGATGAGCAAGATCCCCTGCGGGACTGCTGGTCTGTACCGCCATGACGAATTGAAATCGTATACTTCGGACAAAGCCCTGTGAGGTGCCAGCGGCGAGGGATTGTTGGTGTGATGGTTTCTTGTTCGGGCAGTGGGTGGGATCAGATCACTTGAGTCACACGGTACACCTCACGTCTGCCAAGTCCCCTCAGAATTTCACGCCAGCTGTGCCCCGCCAAATGGTCGTCGTCGGTCGAGCTCCAGGTGGGCCTATGTACTGAGTACCTCCTCGGTACCTAGGTAGTACCCCGGCTACATGCCACCCGTGACCCGGGTTACATTGGGTATTTGATCAATATATGATAGATATATCTATCAAAGTAAATAACAATGTTGGTCTGGAAATGGGATGAAAGGACTGAGAGAATACCAGATCTGGTAGAAAGGTATCGAGCGTTGGACTATCAAACAAGATATGTAGGTTGGTGACTCGTGAGCATTTGGTATTTCGACGTTCTCAGCATGCTCAAATAGCCGTAGTGAACGAGAAAAAAGAAAAGAAATTGGGAAGGGCAAGTTGTAGGTCTAAGGTACATGGCTAGATTTTTTGATACACGCTGCACCTGTCGATTGAAACACACAATCCAAGATGAGACCTCAGTTCTGATCAAGCCGTCTTGGCGCATCAAATTTATCGCTACAGTCATACCAAAAAATGAAATGACATAAAATAACGAGATGTCAATAGATTTCCATACATACATCAAATGGCGAATAGCTTTGTCCGTGTCCCCTCTTCACCTCGCTCTTTGCCTCTAGGGTGGTAAAGACACAGAGGCGGCCAACGCATTTGTTAACGCCGGCAATACCAACATGGATTGCATTGAATCTAATCGTTTTCTTCTCGTCTTTTCTCAGTCAACTGAGGTCTTGTTATTATTCGTCTTTCTGGATATCCGTCTGAACTTTGACATCTGCAAACAAAAGCCTCATCGTCGATCGAGAACATTAGAGGTAAAAAGTTCAAAAAGTGCGTCGCTGTGGAAAAAGAAATGGACGAACAGGGAATCGAACCCTGGACCACTCCCAATCGTTGCACACATGCTAAGGGAGTATTATACCACTAAACCATTCGCCCCGTTTGTGATGTGACAGTCTGCAGAAAGCAGTATATAAACTATTATTTGAAAAAAAGTGGGTTGTAAAGAAATGACCAGCGGCACGTGACATGACAGGCACTGAGGCACAAGGAACAAACTCTCGAGTCTCAGCATTCAATCACCCCCTTTCCCAATGGCGCATGATGCCTAGAGCGCTGAGGCGGCAGATGGTGCTCTCCCAATGAATACTCTGGGACGCGTGGCCTCGTCCAGAGCCGCCATCTCTTGGCGCGAAGTTGAAGCTGAAAAGGAAGGGAATTGACAAAGAGTATTGTTATTTCTACCACCCGATAATTCTATTCATACCACCTTGCGTCTGGCTCAGGCAAGCGACAGCAAGGCGCCACAACGGCGCATCGCGATTTCACCCTCTCGAGGCTCGGCAGCATCAACGTAGAATCGGTCGAGCCGGGGGCGGCCAAGGCACGGGCAACGAGTGCCGACACATCTCGAGGTCGATTTCGATGAAATTACACGTTTGGTCTCACCTTCAGCGCTGAAGGGCGTGTGGAAGGTCTGTCGAAGTATGCACGCGGAAGGAACGCGCGTCACACCCAACCCCATTACCGTTGAAAACCTGGACAAGTAAATCGAAAGTGTAGTCCAGAAGGCCTTCCGAACCCGTTCCACTGGAGAAGCTTCGTGGGCGTCCATCGCCACAAGGGGCGTTCCTGGTCCTTCGGAACCACCCCCGTGAGTGTGCTTAGGGAAGCAAGCCTATTTTTTCCGTGCGCATCTGAATGAGGGTGGCGGACTCGTGTGTTTAAAGAGAGAACGATGGACGCGTACTTTTTCCCAGTCGAGTCGAAGTTAGGTGCGAGTTCGACCGCCGGGTCGGTCGCATTTTGGCCCTCGATATGTTGCTGCTGCCTACCCGCCTCCCATCGCTCCATCCAGTCACGTCCGCCGGAAGTGAACGAGCCCGTTTTAATATCTGCGCGCGGTTTTTCGCCTCGTGAATTGTGACAAGTTCCTGCGCGACGCAGTTATCGTCAAAGTCCTACGGCGTCAGATCGTCTGCCGCGGCCCGTACCCACTCCTCCAATCGTACCGGCGGTCCTGCGGCTTCAGGATACTCGCGATGGAAGCCATTGAGTTTAGTCGCGGAGTATTTGAAGCTTTCAGCCGGATGCCATTCCTCATCCGGGCTCTGAGTGCGGCGTACGACCTGCTCCAGTTAATCCAACCAGGCCAGCAGGGTCTGGAGGACGGTGACTGTGTCGGGCGGGTTGACGCGCGCGCCTCCGGCGGCATTGTCGTTCTTGTCAGTCGGGGGCCGGTGACGAGGTCGTGCGGTGGTCGATTTGCTCCGTATCCTGCGGAGGCTTTGAGGTCACCACGATCCCTGCGTGAGTTTCTACGCGTGGGTTCGCGGTAGTCCTTTTTCGGCATGGGCGAGTGACTCTGTAACCTGGTTTTTCGTCTTGTACAGCCGACGTAAAGAGTGCTGTTTAGCGGGAGGGAGAGAGATATGGAGAGGAAATGCAGGAAATAATCGGTTCGCCAAAGTTGTCGAGTATGTGTCTCGGAGGAGATAGAACGTTGCTGGTCTCCACGGACGAAAAGACGTGCCTTGCACTTGATGAAACATGTGGGACTTCGGTCCAAGATTTCGTTTCGTGATGACTTGCAATGTAAGCGCGCTTCTTTGAATGAATCAAATGAACCACCCATTGGATGATTATCGGGGTTGTTTATATTTGTCGGTGGAAGTGGAAGTTGAACGTCTCTTCCTTGGATATCTCCAGCATTTCAACCAGAAGTCGAATCTTTCTTCGAAGACGACTAATGGACCGTGTGAAATCAGCCGTATCGGGTTCCCTGTCATAAATCCTGCTAGCAGCGCAGCCGGTGGCGGTGGTGTAGGTGAAGGCATTAGATAGATGATGTGTAATGAACTTCAATGAGGAATTTGGTAAAGCAGGCTCTGGTCATCAGACTCAAATTGCTGAGAAAAACCGTCAACATAGCCGTCTTCGAAGAAGGATTCGACTTCTGGTTGAAATGGTGGAGGTGTCTAAAAGGGAAGTTTAACTTCCACTTCCACCGACAAACAGAAGCAACCTCGATAATCACCCAATCGGTGATTCATTCAAAGAAGTGGAACGCGCTCACATTGCAAGCCATCACGAAATGAAAATAAAATCTTGGACCAAGTCCCTCTCCCTCCCGCTTAACAGCACTCTTTACGTCGGCTGTACACGACGAAAAACCAAGTTACAGAGTCACCCACCCATGCCGAAGAAGGACTACAGCGAACCCACTTGTAGATCTAAACCGCTCGGAGCGCAGTCTCTCGAGCGGTCGATCAAACATGAAGAAGTCGAGGAGGCCGCTCTCAATACGAGCCTGCCAGAGTCCTCACCCGCGAGCCCCCGAGCCAGTTGAGCCTGCCGCACCCGCCGATACAGAGCCAGAAGAGCAAGTCGCCAGCATCGAGTCTAATCAGTACGAATCAGCTGAAGATATCGGAATTGGTAGCGCGGGCCGTGGAATAAGGAAAGAATCTCTCCAGAAAGCTTCCATCTTGTCTCTGCGAGTGGTCGGGAGATTTAAAGTCTCTCCTTTTCTGCGGTACAGAGCCGATATTTGTCTCATCTCAGGAGGATTCCCGCTACGAAGCCTTGCCCAGCGTTCAAGAGCCCATAACCCCGTTACCCCTTTCCTCCGCCGCCTTCGGCCGTTGTTATCTCCGCTCTGTAGGCTAGGCGCCGACTCTTCTCTGTTCTTTGTGTCTCCCGACGTCTCCGGGCTCTCCAAGTGTATGTCCAGTACTTCTCTGTTTACTCGCGGGCGGACTGCTATTGAGCGGGAGGGGTGGCTGCGTGGCCCCGAAGAACCAGGAACGCCCAGAAACACCCCTTGCGGCGATGGACGCCCACGAAGCCGCTCCGGGGGAAGGAGTTCGGAGAGCCTTCTGGACTGGCTTTTCGACGGACTTGTTCAGGTTTTCGGTCGTGATGGTGTTGGATGCGTGGCACTGTGGCTCGAAAACCGCGTTCTGACGCGCGTTGCTTCCGCGTCCAGCATGCTTCGGCAGAACTTTCACACGCCCTCCAGCAGTGAAAGTGATATATCATGAGTTCAATTTTTTCATAGTCGGCCTGTAGATGTTCCGGCACTCGTAACATGCCTTGGCCGCCTCCGGCTCGACCGCTTCGACATTGACGCTACCAAGGCCCGAGAGGGTGGTGGCGGCTCTGTGCTAGGCCACGCGTTCTGGAGTCAATAACCAGTGGGAGTCTGGACAACATCATCTGCTGCCCCAACGCTCCGGGCATCATGATTTATGTGCCATCGCGAAGGGGGATGTCGAATGCTGCGAATCTGGTTGTCTTTTTGGTTCTTTGGCATGTGTTGGGGTCGATACCGCGACGATACCACGGTGCAACTCTTCCCCAAGTCCACTACCCACTCTTCTACTGATGCGAAAGCAGTTACAACCTTCTTACATAGCATAAACGAGGTCTCCAGCCTTGGAGCTCGCGAGAGGCCGCTGGATGAAGACCTCGAGGCTCGTGCAGAGGGTGCAACGATCCTCCTACGGATTGAGTTCTGTCGAGACTTGAGGGTCAAAGGAGCGGAATTGAAGGGAAATGATTCATGAACCATCGACAAGATTTGAAGACAGTGAGACACAAAGTTCAAAAAAGTTGGGGGTTCGACGAATTTGATCGTGATGCAAAAAGAATGGACGAACAGGGAATCGAACCCTGGACCACTCCCAGATGTATGAACCATGCTAAGGGAGTATTATACCACTAAACCATTCGCCCGCTTGTTGTTGAAAATAGAGCTGTTATTGGATTATCTAAAGTAATCCGTGAGATTTGTGGAGTCAGCTAGGTACTTTAGGAGGTACCTACCTCCTAAGGTATAAGTACCCTCTTTCATCTTGTTCATCTTGAAAATTGATGCAGTAGGTACGTTGCTGTGAGCGTAATTTGGCACCTCGCAAAACTTACAACATCTTTTCATGAGGAACTTGACTTTACGAGTGGCTGGCCTCTGAACAATAGATTCAAGCAAATCTGGCGAGGCCAAAATAGCGGACATGGCAAAAGACAGATCTCTGATCCCCTAGGTATCATCGTTGAAAAGCCATGTCATTCAGGCCTCTCTGTTTGTTTCTATTCGTTCCATCGTTACGTATAAAATGCAGCATGATCTACCGTGTGCAGACCCAGTACCGGATATAGAGAGATTACAAAAAGTAATGTAAGGGACTCCAGGCAGCCTCCTAGCAACGCCGAGCAATTAATTCACTGCTCTAGCCAAGACAGCCATTGCACCACAGTATAACCCAAAATACACCATCCATTCTCTGTGCCGTTCGACCTCTTGCAGCAAATCCAATTGTTCTATGACGATACTGACACTGAGTGCGATGAGGAGAACGATTGCCATGCGTCCTACGAAGCTAGGTATGACCGAAAAGATCATGATGGGCACAAGTACCATGCAGATACAAGAAAGAGTAAGTCGCACAAACAGCGCGTTGCCAGGCCTGTGTACGATACCATGATCAATCCCTGCAGATGGTGAGCTGAGATGATCTTTGAAAAAGCCGTGGAATGGCTCTTCTTCGGCTGCCTTTGGCATTGGCGTTTGTTCCTGGACGGTGGTGTTCAAATCGTCTGCAGGCAGGCCTTGCGTGTTCAGCGAGATGAGGTCGCTTGACGCATCCAGAAACCGTGTTTCGTCATCTACAATCAGCTTGCTCGTGGCAAGGTAGGATTTGTACAAGTGAATATCTCGCCACGTCGGTGCTGGAATGTCTTGTACTTTGCAGAATGACTCAAGAACATGGTCTGTCAAAGTGTTAGCTCTGTGATCCAAATAGGACAAGAGGTTTGTGATATTTGAACACTTGCTTACTGTATTGACTCAATTTATAGCCAATGAGGCCGAGGATCTCTGTCCTTTGGTGCGCCAGATTGCTGTTGGTCCAGCGATCATGCCGCTGGGACGCTGGCATGACGCCGCCTGCATAGCTTCTCCTGGCCGTGTCCTTGGCCTCTAGAGAGATGAGCTGGCGCTCTAAATCTGAAATCTCATCCTGCATGTACAGCAACAGGCGATGAGTCAGAGCATCGAATTTACGGTAGATCGGTGCGATGGGTTGGCCACATGAATCACCTGAAAGTTTCGTGGCCAGGAGATGATAGCCGCTAGGCGCCATGTTGTCCAGACGGCTAGCAAGATCAGGATAACCTTGACTTGCGTATATCTCTGAGAAATTGTCATTGTTTGACACGCTGGAATTTGAAGAGAATGCAGGCAGGCCATTTTGCTCCCAGGGTTGACCGAAGCCCGTCTTGTATGATGCCTCTGAACCACGATCGTCGTGATCATTCACGGATGTGTCGACCGACGCAAGAGAGGGTTGTTGAGCAGTCCATCCAGACTGTTGCTTCCTATCTTCCCCTTGGTAGCCAGGAGGGAGAGGCTGTCCCCATTGAATTGGGTGAGGCTGTCCCCATTGAGTTGGTTGAGGCTGTCCCCATTGACTTGGGTGAGGCTGACCCCGTTGAAGTGGATGAGGTTGTCCAAATTGAGATGGCTGAGGCTGTCCCCATTGAGTTGGCTGAGGCTGCCCCCATTGAGCTAGCTGAGGCTGCCCCCATTGAGTCGGCGGTTGATCATCGTTCTGCCAGCATTGGCTTTCTGAAGCTACTCTGCGAGATGTAGAGCTGCTTGCCCCCGACGCCGACGCCGGATACTTGACAGGGCCCTGTGAGACCAGGTAATCCATGACACTTGGTCGACGCCTCGACGTGTTCTGCTGAGCACTCTGTGGGATAGGTATGGCTGAAGGCTCGGCCTTCCGTCCATGTGGCTCTTTACTCTGGTCTTGCGTGCATGTCTCTGGTTTGGTAGTTTTGACGGTCTTTTCTTGTGCGCTTGGGTCGAGTGCTGCCTCAACTGAAGGAGGTGTGGTAACACAGAACGACGATGGTGGAGTGAGCTCGGCATCGTCGCGGGTGTCGTCCTCGTCCCAATCTTCTACTGCAGCTGTCATAAGATTTTTGCTGGGCACATGAGGTGATGGCTGAGGAGATAGAATTTCTACTGAAGATGGTGGTGTCTGAACTGAGGCGCGAGAGAATGCGGCATCCGGAGTAGACCCTGGTGGCTCGTCAGATTCGGAGCCATCTTGGTGAGATGATGGGTCTTCCGCTTCATATTGCGGTGCCAAAAAGGCCACTTCGTCGTGCTCGCCGTGCTCTGTATCGGAAACGGTGGCCAACTTGTCTGCGGCCTTGCTGTCGTAACTCTTCCCACTCATCGTGACGATGGTTTGGGAAAGTTTATGCTACGTTCGCAATTTGTGCCATGTACGCCGCAGTAGAGTCGTATGTAGTGAGGGAAAAGCAGAAGAAAAGAGAGGATTTGGGGGAGCACCAAGGACAGTCAGCGACGAGAACAGGAGAAAAGGCTATCAACCAGTTGAAATACCAGCCCGACTGACCCCTTGAACACTGAACTACGGTGTTGGCGGTCGAGAGCACATGAGCCATTATAATGAACAGAAGCGCCTGTGTACACAGCACGGAGAGGCCAAAAAGTTCATTCGATGTCGCATCACTAAAAAGCCTGCATGTCAATTCAGCAAAACGGGGTACATAGTACATACATGCTCATGAGCACATGCCATCACACAAGTGACATACGTTACACACCCCTTGAGGACACCTCAAGCGGGCTGAAGACGCCTTATAATGCGAGTGAAGGAGGCCACATTATCGGTCACAAAACGACGCATAGAGAGGCCATGACACGTGTAGACGGATCAGAGACACATACAGTATGCATTGATGCGCGACGGCGGCAGACGAAGACGCAGCCATAGGCGCGATCCCTGCCTTGCGGGTTGAGATGCGCAGACAGATGGAACCATACGTACATACGCTTGGTTGGCTTGGTGCTTGCTGATCAACAAGAGCCCAAGTTATCGTTCTCCAAGCCATGGCATTCTTAATTTCTTGGGCGTTGACTCAATGACCATACAGGTGGCAAACAACCTGACGATCCAGAGGCAAGACCACGAAGCCTTTCCGCTCTCTAGCGCATGCCAATGCCTATGACAAACATCTTTCGAGGCATACCCAACGATACCCGACGCGCACTTGTATACCCCAACTGCTCACAACAATGGTTTGCTGTTGGATGAGAAGCAACGTCGAGCAACCCTGGGAATGGTGGACGGGTGCCTAGTAATTTCGTTGGCCGAGCTGAGTGCTCGCTCAGGCATTATTATGCTGGATCGAACATCCGAAGTGGGCTTTCGATGCCAAGCATCAATGTTGGTTCAAGCCAAACGACGGGACGAGGAGAATTCCGAGCCTGATTGCGCAAGAGGTTTGGGGAGAAGCTGGAGAAGACTTGCGACCAGCTTAAGAAGGCCATCATTGGTCCGGGCCCACAATACTACTTAATCTTACCTATGCATCTTGTCCAGCCCAACGGGTCGCAACTCGCAAGAGGAGAAATGCATGTCAAAAGAACTCCGGAGTCCGAGGTCGTTGGTCCTTTGTCACTGTCCATACTCGCGACCGCGACTTGCCTTGCATCGAAACAAAGAGCACCAGCACTTCGCATCTGCACATTCATGCATCCTGCAGCCTCTTCAGACCTTCTGGCCACTTAACGACGCGCGCTGCTCCATCCAGGAAAGCTTGTCGCGGCAACGAGGCCAAACGACGGTGCAAGCTATTATCGAACAGCGAGTTTCCTTAGACGTTGAGTCCAGCGATAAGACCAATTGTGATCTAAACAAAAGCGGAAGACTATTCATCTGAAGAAAAAATGAGTCGAGCTCGAATTGGAGAAGCCGGCAGATACCTCCTCGAGGGGAGACTCCCACAGAGAGGCTGCTTGGCCAGTTGCCATGGCCTTGGACGCAGCGGTGTGACCCTGCCGCCGCATAATCGGCTACGCGCCCTACATCATGTGCCATCTGCGGCGCCAGCTGCTAATTCGATTGATCTCACAATACCTCTGCGGAAACAGCTGAAGGAGGAGGCGAAACTGGCCAAGAAACAGGCAAAGCAAAAGTCGAAAGGCAACTCTCAGACCGTGGAAGGATGGGAGCTGACCGTCGGAATTGAAATCCATGCTCAGCTTAACGCGAGTCGCAAGCTATTCTCCCCTGCGACCACATCGTTCAACGACGAACCGAACTCTCACGTTGCATTGTTTGACGTGTCAATGCCAGGCAGCCAACCCCTGTTCCAGAAAGAGAGCTTGATACCGGCTCTTCGAGCTGCGCTGGCCCTCAACTGTGAGATCAATCCAGTGAGCCACTTCGACAGAAAACATTACTTTTGGTGGGACCAGCCTTCCGGATACCAAATTACGCAGTATTACAAACCGTTTGCTAAAGACGGTGACATTACCATAACGGCTCGAGATGGCATTGCCGCCGAGGATGGCGAAAGTGTTAATGTGAGGATCAAACAGATGCAGCTTGAGCAAGATACTGCGAAGACCTTGGCGCAGTCTGGAACTGTGCATTGGCTAGACATGAATCGTGTCGGGGTGCCTCTCATAGAGATCATTACGGAGCCGGATATGCACCACCCGCGCACCGCTGCTGCATTTGTACGCAAAGTCCAGCTACTTCTCACTACGGTCGATGCATGCGTTTCTGGAATGGAGGAAGGTGGGCTCAGAGTCGATGTGAATGTGTCTGTTCGGAAAACGGATGACCCGTCGCGAGCACTAGGAACGAGAACGGAAATTAAAAACATCAGCACCATCAAGGCTGTGGAGG